AAAGCAAAATGAAATACACCCACATTACAGAAAATCAATTAAAGTACTGGAACCTCCTAAGATATATTTATGTACATCAATATACTTCATCAAAAGAATAAAAAGAGAATTCACAGAATTGAAAAAAATAGCAATAATATATCAGATAAAAGTATAGTTTCAAAAATATATAGAAAAATACAACACCTTAATAAGAAAAACACAAATAGTCCAATGAAAAAAAATGGTCATAAGACCGGAATAGACAATTCACTAAAGATTGTGACATCAAGGTAGCCAAAAATCATATGAAGATATGCTCACATTCATTACCTGTAAGAGAAATACAAATTGAAACAACAATAAGATACTACCTCACACTGACACTCTTAGCAAAATTCAAAAACAAAATAAAACAACAACAACAACAACAATAAAACCCCAGAAAATATAAATGGTGGAGAAGATGTAGAGATGGAAATACTCATACATTGTTGGTGGGATTGTAGAATTGTACAACCACTATGGGAAACAATATGGTGCTTCCTTAAATAAACAGAAATACAAATAAATGATGATTCTGTAATCTCTCTATTTGTATATACCCAAAAGAAATAACAAATAAAACATGAACAGACATATTTACACCCATGTATCTTATAGCGACTTCTATAATAGAAAAAAAATAATGGAAATAATCAAAACCTCTGTCTGTGGAAATAATCAAAATGGATAAAGAAACTTTGCTACAAACACACCGAGAATATTATGAAGCCTTCAAAAACAAGGATGAATCTGTCTAACACCTCCTGGCATGGGCAAAATTTGAGGGTGTTAAGCTCACCAAAGTTCGTCAATCTCATAAAGAAACATTTCATGAAATCAGTATTATAAAGCAAAACAACAACAACAAAATAGCTTCCCACCAACAGAAAATAATTTGAAGACTACTAGGAGTCCAGGGCGGGGGAGGATGGGGCGAGAGAAGGGACTTAGAGTTAAGGAGGGAGAGTGATTGGGGAGGAGACGAGGAGGAAGAAGAGGAGCAGGAGGAAGAGGAGTGGGGGAAGAATAATGGGAAGGGGAAGGGAAACAAGAATGAATGAATGAATGAATGAATGAGTCACACACATGGTGGGAGGGGGTTTACTGGGATACCATCATTGTTTTGATGAGATGACCTGTGCAATTACATGTAGTATATGTTTCTTTATATGTTTTATATTCCACAGATAAAAGGTAAAAAATTAATAAAAATAACATTTTTTTTATTTTAGTAAAGACAGAGAATTGTCACAGTCTTAAAAACCTTCCAGATTCTTTACCCATTAGACCTAAATATGAGCCTGAATGTTCTATGAGGCAGGACAGTAACACTGGAACACTTAAATTATTTTGTGGCTCACAAGCTAGTTTCAATAACATTCAGTCAAAGGCACTCCAAACTATTTTACAATTAAAAATTGTGAAAACAGAAACAAAGAACCAATGATAATGGAGGATGGAGTTCAAGCTGTGCTGAAGGCATTAGGGAAAACACGCCTCTGGGAATGGATGGCATACCAACTGAAATGTTTCAGTGGGCAAAGCACTGGAAGCACTCTCTCATCTGGGTCAAGGCATTTGGAAAATGTCTACCTGGCCAACCAACTGGAATAGATCCATGTCATACCTTTTCCAAAGAGATGATGCAGAAATTATAGAAGTGATATAATTAATAACACATGGAAGGTAAATTTTGCTGATGATAGTTCATATCTGTTGCCCCAGGACATCATCAGGGAGCTTCAAGAAATTCAAATCAGATGCAGAAGACTTGGCAGAGGATTATCGATCATTGCTGACATCAAATGGATCTTTGTGAAAGCCAAGTATACCAGAAAGATGTTTACTTCTGTTATATTGACAATGCAAAGGCATTTAATTATGTAGCTCATAACAAACTATAGATACAGTTTTGAAGAATGAGAATGTAGAACGTATTGGGGTTCTCATATGCAACCCATATATAGACCAAGAAACAGTCACTCCAACTGAACAAAGGAACACTGCATGGTTTAATATAAAGAAAGGTAGGTTTCAGGGTTGTATTCTCTCACCATATTAATTCAATCTGTATGCCTCCCCGCCCCCCAAAAATCCAAGAAACTGGCCTGTATTAAGAATATGGCATCAGGATTGTAGGTAGGCTTATTAATTACCTGCAATACACATAGGACACAACACTGCTTGCTGATCGAGGAGGAATTGAAGCCCTTGCTGATGAAGATCAAAGCCTGCTGCATGGATTGCAACTTAATGTAAAGAAACCCAAATCCTCAAAACTGAACAAACATAGTTCCTCATGATAATTGGAGAATAGACTGATGCTGTCAAGCACGGAATCGTACTATCAATTCTCATGAAAGAAGCAGTCAAAAAATCAAATGAGAACTGCAAACGCCTCTATGAAGTATTGACGAGCAAGGATGTCACTTTGAGGACCATGGTGTGACTTGATACTTTCCACAACCTCATATGGATGTGAAAGTTGGACATTGAATAAGAAAGACATAAGAAGACTTGATGCATTTGAAGTATGGTATTGATGAAAAATATTGAAAATACTACAGACTGCCAGAAGAACAAATACAGTTATTTTGGAAGAAATACAGTCATAATGCTTCTTAGATTCAAAGAATGTGGCAAAAAAATAATTGTTCGTTTGTTCACTGACCTTGCTAAATATGAATATTACCAATTATCACACTCTTATTTTTGTCTCTTCATGTGGTTATAGGGCTCATTATTCTGGAGTACTTAATCCTATGCTACACTGTATACATTATTTTTTTTCCCAGAATAAGACCCAATATTTATTTCTTTGGTTGATCTCTTTACATTTAGGTACAATCCATAGTAAAAGGTGTTAGTCTTTGATTCAAGTCCTTATTGCTTTCAGAAATGAGACCCTCTTCCCACCTCTTCTGTTGTGTAGCTCTTGAGTTTGATACAGTGATGCAACTGCTTTTGTATCACTTTCAACAAAACTTGCTTTGCATTAATGATTGTACTCTCTAATCGCCACAATCTCTTGGATCTTCCAATTTCTTGACAATAGAAGAGTAAATGTTTCTTGTGTTTTCATCAACTTTTTGAAACATTTCCATTTGTATTCTGTCAATTCCTGGTGCATTTTGTTGTAGTAGTTGCTTTTGCTAATACCTTCAGTGCACTTTCCTTCAATATCATTGGTTCTTAACCTTATCCTATTTTTTTAAATGGTTGAATGCCAACCATTTTTGCCACAGTTCCTGTGTATTCCTTCCATTTGCTTTTGATGCTTTCTGCATTCAATATTTTACACAGAATATTTCAATATTCAAATTGAGGCTTGACTCATCTTTCATTTCTTTCAGTTTATAGTATGTTGAGTATGTTCTTATTCTTTGGCTTTCTAGCTCAACATATATGCACATTATATACAATTACAATACTTGACCGTTGTCTTCTTGAGATGTACTTGAAATTTTTCTTCAGCTCTGTTACTCCATCATTTCTTCCATTTGTTTTAGCTACTTTAAGATCTAGGTCAAATTTCACTCTTTTGTTCTGACCTCCACTTTTGTATTTTATTTTCTTCCTGTTTTCTTAATAACCTTTAATATTCTTCATGTGTGATGTGTTTCATGTCATCCCATAACTCCTCTGGTCTTTGCTTGTCGGTAACCAGTCTGTTCTTGAGATGTTGTGGGCTATACTCTATGTTTTATTTAGGCTCTATAGTGAGGAGGAGGAGGAGGAGGTGAGGAACAAGAAAAACATGAAGAAGGAAAGAGGCAGAAACAGTGAAAGGATGAAATGGAAAAAGAAGGAAACATCATTTACAGTAGATTTATTAAAGCACTGAGTTTCTGAGAATGGTTTGTTGCTCCTTCCTTTCAATTCTCTTCATTGTTCTTAGGATATTTAAAAATCTACTTTAGTTGAGTATCAACTCCTTACCCTGGTACACAGGGTGCAAGTACTCTACTTAAACCTGCTACAAATTAATAAGGAGCCCAGCGGCATAGTGGCTCACCTCCTCGCTAATAACGGAAAGATAGGAGGCACGAACCCATCAGCAGCCCTCTTACATAGGGAGAAAAAAATATCTAGGGATCTGCTCCTATCAATATTACGGTGTAGGAAGCCCTTCGGAGCGATTCTATTCTGTCATAATGCATTGCTGCTATTCAGAATTGACGCCACAGAATACAAAAACAACAGCACAAATGTCCATCCTCAAAATCAGTCTTACTCTTCCTTACTAGCTTTGATCTTCAAAGGCCTTCTAGCCCTGGACCCACAATCTCTGTGGCCTTCTTCCTCACCTTCCCCAGGGAGCTCAACCGGAGTAAACTTAAATTCTAGTACTCTAGTGTATCCAAATTAATTATCCAAAAATAATTCTCGGAAAATGTACCCAAACGCATACATGTATGCATTCACTCTTCTTTTCAGAAAACTTTAACAAATGATTTGATTTTTTTTTATGTCAAATGATTTTATTAATTTACTTTGGAGACAAATTAATCTTCCTCCACCACCTGGGAGTTCCAAAGTACATTTCAAAGACGGGAAACATACACTGCATGGAATGGACACCGACTCATAGGATAGAACTGCCCCTGGGAGTTTCGGAGACTGTAAGTAACTCTTTATGGGAGTAGAAAGCCTCCTCTTTGCCAGCGGAGTGGCCGGTGGTTTGGAACTTCTGACCTTGCAGATCCCAGCCAAACGCATAACCAATGCTCCATCCTCATTGGCATTTTACATAAAGTGTTCCCTGACCAATCCGGTATCAACCCTTCTGGAAACAATAGGGGGCACCACAATAGAGGGCAAAAGTCCCTGAGGGACACATGCCCCAGTTGAGTGGCCCACTCTCCCACACTCCGGGCTCCAACGTGGGCGGTCCCGTCAGACGTGGGTGTGGCCCTGGGCTCGGCCCCTCCCCCGACGCGCGCATTCCCGGTGACATCCACGCGCCCTCGCCCGCGCCGGCGTCCGCGCGGAAAAAGAGTTGGCGGGTTCGCCGCGCCAGCTTCATCCTTGGGCGGAGGCCGAAAGGATGTTCCCGTATCCGGAGGAGGAGGTGAACCGGACCCTGTTTGTGGGGAATTTAGAGGCCCGAGTTCGGGAAGAGATTCTTTATGAGTTGTTTCTTCAGGTACGGCTGGGGGCGGGGGCGTTGCCGGGGCGGGGCGCGTCGGGCCGGGCGCAGCCTGGGGGCGGAGCCACTGCGCCTCTGGGCCGCCGGGGCCCCTCCCCTCAGAGCTCTAAGCCTAGATGGCTTTAGCCTTGGCGTACCTGTGACCCTGGGAGTGGCTGGGCGATGGAGTGGCGGAGGGTGCGCCCCCAGGGCCACCCCCACTGCAGAGCTTTGCGGCTGCACTGGGACCGGGCGCTCCCAACCCCCACACCTGAGTCCGAACTCCTGTGAGGCGCCTTGGGCCTTGGGCTCTGAGAACAGCCATGCCACTATCCATTTTTCAGGTGATAAGCACTCCCCATGCTTTGCATCTGCAACAAGATTGATCCTTAGCTGTGTTTCACTATACAGGTGTGTGAATCAATCCCATCAGCCCTTTTGTGGCTTTGAGATTTTGAAGCCCTTTGGTAATGAGTTACTTTTGCTTCAGTTTGAAAGATGAAATTTGATTTGGGCAGCCAAGGTACCTGTTTAATTGGTGCCCAGGCCTTTTGGTCTATGCTAGATGGCCTCCTGGAAACTTCCAGAGACTTATCATCTTTGTAATCTGTTCTTAGTCTGGAAGCTCCACTGGGACCTATTCACTTTAGGTGACTCTGCTGACCTTTGAAAGACCAGAGGCATAGCTTCCAGAATCACAGCAACACACAAGCTACCACAGGTTGACAGACTGACAGACAAGTGGTGGTTTATTATATGTAAGGGCTTTGTAACTTTTCACTTATAAACAATACACCTATTTTAACATCTTAAAGGTATGAAAACATTTTCCCCTCTTTGGGAATACTTTTTAAGTGAGATTACTAGATCAACAGACATGATACATTTACTTTCCCTCGTAAGGATTTTGAATCTTCTTAATATAAAAAACATAGGTTAGGATATAATTTCAACTTTTTTTGCAGGTAGCTCAAATCAGCATTGAATTTTGTCATTTTTTTTTTTTTAATTTTGTATTATAGACTATTATGGATAGAGACAAAGTACTATGTTAATCTTAGATTTATATGCTGTTACTTGGTCTGTAAAACTTAAATAAAAGTGGTAAAACTGTCCCTTTAATACTTGAAAATGTTATCTCTAATTGTCTATTTTAACACTCTACATGCTTCCTTGTCAGCTCAGAAAACACCAAGAAACTGAGAATATTATGTTTATTGTTAAGAAAATGCATTATTTGTAGAGATGTAGTAACAGCATTGTTCCCCCATCTAAAATTGAATTTGCTTACAAGAAGAGTCTTTAGATTTATGAGAAAATGATTTTTGTATTTCTTTATAGGCTGGGCCATTAACCAAAGTGACTCTATGCAAAAGCCGAAAAGGCAAGCCAAAGTCTTTTGGATTTGTCTGCTTTAAGCACCGAGAATCAGTGTCTTATGCCATAGCTTTGCTGAATGGAATCCGTTTGTATGGAAAGCCAATAAGTGTGCAATATCGATTTGGTAGGTCCTGCTGCTTGTGAAGCACAATTGTGATGTGAAACTCTATTTTATAAAGTGTGTGTTTTTTAGGTGATATATTCAGAAATGTAAGCATGTTACATATAATTTAAGACCAGAAACAGTAATACCCTTATGGTCTCTTAATGTCTCTCAGAACAGCTGTCTGGTCCATAATCCCATAATTTATGGAATTAATTAGTTTGAAAATTACCTTGCCAACCATACAGCGTCTTTTCTATATTGAAATGTCCTATGTTCTCTTTTAGTGCCACCAGCACCTTATCTGTGAGTCTTTCTATTGACGCCTAGAAATTCTGAGTGAATGGAGGACATTAAACTCTAGCTTGTATATAACAAGATTATTACTTTCCTTGTAATCCCTGATTTTGTGTCACTGCTGCAGTTTGTTATCAAACATCTGTAGGAAAATAGGCTAGGCACATAAGTCTCTCTCCTAGGGAAACTAACCTCTACACATTTCCCTTGGATCTATGCCTGCAAAAGCGTCGAGTGGCCCTTGCTTGTGATAGAAGATACTACAGAAGATAGATGGCCTCAAAACACCTATCCTGAATGCATGTCAGAGACCGATTGCCTATGATTAGATATCCAAAGACCTTCATGTTTGGGGCACTAATAGAGGCTCTGGTGTAGTCCTGGCAGTAGTTCTTGTTTTCCCTTCTCTAAAAGCTGTTAGGCTTACTAATACATCAGCTTTATTTTGTGTGTTCATCTCTTGCTGAACTAAAATAATAATAATATGGGTAAGAAACCATACCTTATTGCAAAAGAAAATTGTTTATCTTGAGAATTTTGTTTTGTTTTAAATACCTTTACAGAGAAAGCTGATTGCAGCTTATTCTCAAGTACTCTCCAGCTGTCTATCCGGCACAGACTTGCACAGTGGGCCGGGATATATTCTATTCTGACGCATCCTAGCCAGCTTTTCAGCATGCTAAGTAAAATTACACTGGCTTGTCAGTGCAGTTTAGAACACTCATGGCTCTATACTGGCGGCAGATAACAATGATGATTGCTTATGTTTGGTGTAGAGGGGGCTATATGAACACATTAATCTGTAAAATGTAAATGAACTAAATATACTATGAAGATTTGAGAGGTCAAATATTTATACATATATCTTATATGAGGATGGCATTTTAAGGTACTTAAAATACTTTTAAGATAACACCATATGTGAATATTATGTCCCTTTCAGTGTTAGGTTATTTTGTGGTTTAATGTTGAAATAACTTATAACAGAAAGTAATCTGTTCCTCTTCTTCTTTTTTAAGGGAAATATCACACTTTTGAGCCAACTAATCTATGTTTTGAGAACGGTGTTAAGATAAATTCACATAGCTACAGGTAATTAAAATAGTTTTCACTAAATAAAGCAAAAAAAAGTTCTTGTGTAAGATTTCTTTTATATATTCTGGACTGTTCTTAAACCTTGTTACATAGATACAGGATAACATGAATGAACTTGTTTTTTTAACCATGAGAAATAAGCATTTACATAGTAAAATGACTATATAAATTCATATATATTTTGTCAGTCTAGGTAAACTAGAGAAACAAATCCATAGGAACTCATGTGTATACGTGAGAGGTTTATATAAAGGGTAATTGTACATTAAGAAAACATCCCAACCCAGTCCAGTCTAAGCCCATAAATCCAATATTAGCCCATATGTCCAATACCAATCTATAAAGTCCTCTTCAGTCCCATGAAACACATGCAATGACACTGAATTCAGGATGAGCACAGGCCAGGGGTTAGAAAGTCTATGGATCCAGGGCATTGCAAACATCTCACCACTGGCAGGGCTCTCTATGTGGCTTCTCCGGCTTCAGAGGTCTGGTTGCATCAGGGCAGGACCATGTGGCTTCTCCAGCTCAGGGCACTAGTGTAGTTCCATGTGTCTTGTCAGCTGCAGTGTCTCCCAGGGAATGTAGTAGTGAGAGAGTATCTCTCCTGCCTCCAAGGAGGAAATAATGGATTTCCCAGAATTCTCAGGAGAAGGCCATGCCCACACAGAAGCCTCATTGGCTATGATCGGATTGATAGGCTAGACTCCACACCTACACTCTTAATCCTCAAATTGACAAATGATTATATAACTGTCACAGAATTATGGTACCAGGAGTGGGGTACTGGAGAAACAAATCTTTTTTTTTTTTTAATAATTTTATTAGGGGCTCATACAACTCTTATCACAATCCATACACACATCA